GCCTTGAACTCACAGAGATCCCCCTGCCTCTGTACACTACCACACCCGGTGAGAAATAAAAATTTTTTAAAAAATACTGAAGATTAAATTTGACCTGGAGGTGTGGCTCAAGGGTAGAGCACATGGGCTTAACATGCACAAAGTCCTGTGCTCAAGGCCTAGAGTAAGCAAAAACAAAACCAAGCAAGCAGGGCTGGGCGTGGTGGCCCATGCCTTTAATCCCAGTATTGGGGCTACAAGCAAGGTCAATCACTAGTGTGCCCTGTTTTTTGTTTTTTTTTTTGTTTTTTTTAAAGGAAAATCCAGAGGCCTGGTAATGGAGCTCAGTACCTTCCTTACCTAGGTTTATGAAATGCATGAAGCCCTGAGTCCAATCCAATAGCGTACACAAAGCCCATAACTTCCTAATGGCAGGATTAGAAAATACCCAGAGATAGAGCTTTAAAAGCCAGCACTTTAGAATTCATGCCAACAGGCAGCTTCTAAAAAATGCCTGGCACTTACCCAAGCAGTGTAGCCCTGGCCTTGGGGGCTTCCCAAGCAAGCTCATGTAGCACTGTCCCCAGCCAGCAACACCCTACATTCCTCTTCCCCATCCATTTTAGCTCTTGCCAGCCTGAACATTCCAGTTTCACACAAGAAAACGGAGGCCTAGAGTTAGAGTCTGAGGCACACATAAGACCCTGAGTTTGAACCATAAAAATCAAACAAGCAAAAATACAGTGCTGAGTTCCCCCCTTCCCTGAGCTAGAAAATGCCATCCAACTCAAATGTAACCCACTTCAACTCTCACAGCAAGTATTCAAAAACACCTGTCAAATATACAAGATTGTAAGGGCTGTGGGGACAGCTCAGTGGTTAAGAATGCTTGCTGCACAAGCTTAGGGACCTGAGTTTGGATCCCCAGCACCCTTGCAAAAAGATGGATATGTGGCCAGTGCTCACTTAGCCCTGTGGGGGTTAGAGACAAAGGGATAGCTGGGACTTGCTGGCTGCCAACCTAGCTCCAGGGAGACCCTGTCTCAAGGGAATAAGACCAAGTGTGATTGAGTAGGCCACCCAACATCCTCTGGCCTCTGCATAGCCCCACCACATACACACACACACAGAAACTTGACAGAGCTGGGCATGGCCATTCATGCCTGTAATTTCAGCACACCAAAGTCTGAACTAGAACTTGGAATTTAAGGTTAGCCTGAGCTATACAGTGGGTTCAAGAGTAGTTTGCCTAGGCTATAGGTAGAAACCTGTGTTTAAAAAAAAAAAAAAAAGCTAGCCAGGTGTGGTAGCGCACGGCCGGCAGATCTCTGTGAGTTCAAGGCCAGCCTGGTCTACATAGTGAGTTCCAGGACAGCTGGGGCTACAGGGAGACCCTGTCTCAAAAAGACCCCCCCCAAAAAAAAGCCAAAAACAAAAGAATTTGCTAAATAGGATTTACCCCACTGAACCTGAGAGTTCTTGCTGACGGGTTAGTCTATAAATTCATGTTTTAAAAAAATCACCCCCACACACGCATACACATTAAATGAAAAGCAACCAGAGGAACAGACATTATATGTTCTAGCAGCTTAGAGAAGATACTATATTCAATCAGTGTGGGTAAACACTACTCAGAGGTTAGCCACAGCCCAGGAGACAGTGGTAACGGCAGCTCAGCTCCACACTACCTCTCTATGCTCAACCCTGACCTACCTGTTCCCACTAGAGCAACCCCCTCAGTTTGCATGTCCAGACCCTAACACTCCCTGACACTGGGGGTCAGCAGAGCTGCTTCCTCAGGACAGGCGAGACAGGGCAGTGAAGGAAGGCAGGGGCTGTAGCTGTAGGCACTGATGCTCTATGCAGCCCCTAGGGCTGGGGACTTGGCTAAACTCACCCTGCCCAGGTCACCAAGCTGACCACTAAGGAGAACATGATGCATGGAAACCTTTTTTTAAAATTCTGTGTGTGTATAGGGCCCAAGATGACCAAGCACCTGTGGTGATCAAAGAACAACCTGCAGAAGCTGGCGCTCTACCTCCACCACGTGGGGCCCACAGGGATTGGGCTGGAACTCTGGTTGTCAGGCCCAGAAGCAAGTGCCTTCACCTGCTGAGCCATCTCACCAGCCTGGCATCGTAGTTTTAAAAAGTATGGGTTGACGGAGCCATGTGGAAGGAGCAAGCGTGCTAAGTAGTCCTGGCTGGGGCCTGGCATCCCCAGTCTATGAGTGAACAGCCTATGATTTGAGTCACTTCTGAGCACCTGTTTTCATTCTTCTTTAAGAGGTCAGAGTGGTGCTTGCTGGATCTGAAGGACTATGCAAGGCAATCTTTTACAAAAGTAAAATCGGCCTTGATAAATTAAAAAAAAAAAATAGATGCTGGGCATGGTGGCACACACCTTTAGTCCCGGCACTCGGGAGGCACAGGCAGGTGGATCTCCGTGAGTTTGAGGCCAGGCTGGTCTACACAGCAAGTTCTAAGCCATCCGGGGGGCTACAGGAAGACCCTGTCTCAAAAGAAAATAGACCAACTGATCTCTAATCCTTTTAGCATGTCACCTTTGGCTCTCTCTCTAGGTGGGAAAAAACAGGAAAACTGGGTGGGCAGAAAAGTAGCCCAAACAAGTGTCTCTACCCCAGGTCTTTGTGAAGGATGGAACCTCAGGCCTGACACATGCTAAGTAAACACTCTAGCAGAATTACCCAGAGTTCCAGCCACTGAGGACCCCATACAAACACCAGCCATGAAGTCTCTCCGGGCTGGGTGGCACTCTGAAATCACGGGTCCTAAGAGCCTCAGAGGTACACACAGGCTGCAGTCACCCCGGGCCTTACTCAGTGCCCACACTTTCAGAAGGCCACAATTCATTAACGCTGGCAAGACAAGCTAGCATTCTTACAATTATCATCATGACCTTGGCATAATGCTACAGGTTTGGAACAATGTTAAGCAAGGCCATTACATCTCACTCCCACTTACCCAAGTGCTCAGGGAGCAGGGGGCCTCAATTAACCAGATTCTGGCCAAATGCACTGCCATGTGTATTAGAAACAGATTTTATAACACCAAAGAAACAATTAAGGGCTGGGCTGTGGGTAGGGCCTACCATGTATTAGCCCTCAAGTTCAATGCCCCACACTGGAGAAAAACAAGTGCTTTCGGTGATGTGGATGAATCAGAACTCATGAGGGATGACTCAGTGCCAACAGGATCAATTGTGGGGTTTTTCCCCCTTTTTCTTACAACAAGGTCTGATACATAGCCCTGACTAGGCTAGCCTTGAACTTTCTATGTAGCCCAAGATCGCCTTAAGCTCAAGACCTTCCTGCCTCCACCTCTCAAGTGCAAATATTACAGGTGTTCACTATCCTACCTGATCAAAAATGCTCTTTTTAAATTACGTGCCTGGAATACAAGCACTTGGCTGAGAATCAGGCCTGGTGGTGCACACCTTTAATCCCAGCAGTTGGGAAGCAGAGGCAGGAAGCGCTCTGTGAGTTCCAGGCCAGCTGGGGCTACAGGGAGACCATTTCAAAAAGACCAAAAAAACAAGTGGAGGTGGAGGCCAGAAGATCACAAGTTTGTAGCCATTTTCAGTTACATAGTGAATTCAAGACCAGCCTGGGCTACAAGACACCCTTTCTCAAGGAAAAAGTTTGGCTACTTTCTTAGATCTTGTCTTAGAAGATGTGGGGGGGGGGTGGGGGGGGGGGAGTTTCCTGGCCAGGCATGATTGCCTTTAGTCACTTCATGGGAGGCAGAGGCAGCCAGGTCTCTGAGCTCTGGGCCAGTCTGGTCTACATAGTTCCAGGTCAGCCGCACTACAGGGAAACACTGTCTCAAAAAGACCAAAAAGGAAGGGGGTTATTTCTTAAACTGTGTATTTGCTTAAAAAGGAGATTAGATTTACTGCTTTTGGTGGACCACCACCTGAAAATACAGACGGGAATCTACCTAAAGAGATTAAAAATCTGACTCCACACCAAGCCCTAATAGATTTGGGGCAATTAACCTCATCCCAGTCTCCTCACTGTGATCGCTTAAATGAGGTTAAAATACTAAATAAGGCGTGGGAGCGGGGGCCAGGTCATGTGACACAGGAGGCCTCTCCTAGAATCTAGGCATCACAGCAAGGCCCCCAGCGCTGCCTTCATAACCTGCAGTGATTTTAACCATCCTCGGTATCATTTTAGGGGAATAAATAGAAACACAACCTCTGTGCATAGCTCCCACATTTGCTCCCAAATAAAGGCTGGCCAATGACTTTGCAAGACGTTTCCAACAGGTGAAATAAGGACTCCATTGCAAAATAATGGTAACAAAAAGATATACAAATAAATAAATTTTTAAAGAAGCCGGGCATAGTGGCGCAAGCCTTTAGTCCCAGCACTCGGGAGGCAGAGGTAGGTGGATTTCTGTGAATTCAAGGCCAGCCTGGTCTACATAGTGAGTTCCAGGCCAGCTGGGGCTACTGAGAGACCCTGTCTCAAGAAAAAAAAAAAAAAAAAAAAAAGAAAAGAAAATCACCTTCAAGATGTACACTCCGGAGTGCGTACACATGAAAGGACAACACGTAAGGCTTCCTGCAACTTCCACACGGGTGCACCCTCAGCCAAGAGCCAGCCAGGCCTGCAGGATGGGGCTCCAGGCCATGTCGATCACGTGTGCCCAACACAAGGACAACCCAACCGGACAGCCTAGAGGCCCATCCCCACCCACCCCAGTGGGGAAGGCAGCCGGGGAGGCCTGGGGGAAGCCGGTCCGCAACTGCGGGCACACACTGGGGTCCCCCGGGAACGCCCCACCTCCCTCGCCCGCCCAGTCGTCCCCACTCGGGTTTTTCGGGTTGTCAAGAGCTGGTTCCGCAGGCACCACCTGGGCCTGCGCCTGCGCAGTGCTCACCAAACCCGCCGCGAGAGTGGAAGCAGAAGCCCGAGGCCCGCGCTGCCGCATTCTCGGGGGCCGAGGGGACTGTGCGGGGTTCCCCTTCCGAGATCCAGGACCCCCGAGACTCACCTGCGCCCAGGAGGCTGGCCAGGAGCACAAGAGAGTACATGGCGCCGCTGGACTCTGCAGGCTGCAATGCAGGCCGTCAGCTGATCGCGGCGGATATAAATCTGCCCCCCGCCCCGACGCCGCGGCCAGTGCGCAGGCGCCGGCCCTGCCCCGCTCCACCGGGTGCAGCCTGACTCAGCGCCTTGTGCGCGCCGCCGGGGACGGGGGGCTGGGAGGTGGCCTGGCGGGAGAAGGCAGGGACTAGGTGTGAAAGAAAAGCCCTATCCCGTGACCAGATCAAGGTCAGGGATTATAGCCTGAGTATAGCGTGTGTTCCTCCTTTTACCGCGGCCTCCCCTATACCAGGCAGTGAACTGCATCTGGAGCCCCTGGCATCCCTTGTTCTTTTTCGGTCTTTTTGAGACAGGGTCTCCCTGTAGCCCCAGATGGCCTGGAAGACCAGGCTGGCCCCGATCTCACAGAGATCCACCAGCCTCTGCCTCCCAAGTGCTGGGATTAAAGGCATACACGGTACTGCGCCCCTAATTTACCTAATATATATTTAAGTCTCTCACTTTTTTTTCTTTTTTTTTTTTTTTTTTTTTTTTTTTTTTGTTTTGTGTTGGGTTTTTTGGTTGGTTTTTGGTTTTTGGCTGGGGGGGTTGCCTTTGAAGGTCAACTTTTGTTTTCAAGACTGGGTGTCACGTTTTGCTTGTTGCCCAGGTGGGTCTGGAACTCACAACCTTATGCCTCAGTCTCCCGTAGGAATGTTTTAGGATTTGGTTTTGTTTGTGGTACTGGGTATCAAACCCAAAGCCCTGCTACTGATACTGCAGGCCTTTAATCCTAGCACTAGGGAGGCAAAGGCAGTTGGATCTCTGTGAGTTCCAGGCCAGGTGGGGCTACAGGAAGATACTGTCTCAAAAAGACCAAAATATTAACACTTTTTGTAAAAGATGAGTATCACTAATTGGCCCAGGCAGGCCCTGAACTCATGATCCTCCTGCCTTAGTCTCCCAAGTATAATGATGGGTTTTGTTTTGTTCATTTTTCTGAAACATTTATTTCTTTATTTTGTGTATGAGTGTATTGCCTACATGTATGTAATTGTTTCAGAGGCATCTGAGTCTGTATCTTCCAATTTGCAGACCCTAAGATCCCAAATAAAGTTTTTTTTGTTGTTTTCTGAGTCGGGATTGATTGACAGATGCAGAATAATAGGCAGTTGGTTAGAATCCTTAGTGTAAGGGCTTAGACAAGTCTGTAACCTGTTGTTCTTGATTCTCATCCGTAAAATAGGATTAGTAATAGTAAGTAGGGGCTAGGGATGCAGCTCAGTTGGTAGAGTGCTTGCCCAGCATGCACAAAGCCCTGGGTTTGATCTTTCTTTGGTTTAGAATGTGCAAGCCAGGAGGATCATGGAGAGTTCCAAGCCAGCCTGGACTCCATAATAAGACCCAGTCAAAAAAAAGATAATTTATGTTTACTAAAATGACCCTAAAAAGCAGCCGTGGTGGCTGGCATCTGCAGTCCCAACATTTGGGAGGTTGAGGCAGGAAGATCTCAAGTTTCAGGGATGCATAGCAAGACTGTCTCAAAAATAAATTTAAATGGAGCTGGCAGATATAACTCAGTTTTACCTAGCATGCGTGAGGCAATGGGTTCAATCCCCAGCACTGCATAAACCAGGCATAGGTGCATACACCTGTAATCCCAGCACTAGGAGGTGGAGACAGGAGGATCAGAAGATCAAGGTCTTGATAGGCCACATATGGAATTCAAGGCCAGGCTTGGCTACATGAGGGGGGAGGGGGAATGGCGTTAATCATGTGTTATTAAATAAAATAAATAATTTTTTAAAAGGGTGGGGGGAGGGGGGAAGAGTGTTGGGGAGGAGGAAAGGGGAATGGTGCTGGAGAGATGGCTCAGCAGTTAAGAGGACTGACTGCTCTTCCAGAGGACCCAGGTTCGATTCCCAGCACCCATTTGGTGGCTAACAGTTCTCTGTAACCCCAATTCCAAGGAATTTGACACCCTCTTCTGGCCTCTACTGGCTTTGCACGACACAGGGACATGGGTACACTTACATATGTGTAGGTATAACACTCATACACAGAAAAATAAAGGGGAAAAAAAGCCCCTAACAAGCAAGCATGATGGCTAACTTCTATAATCCCTAGCACTTGGAAGGCTGAGGTAGGAGGATCTCAAGTTCCAGGCCAACCTGGGCTACATAATAAGACACTATCTCCAAAAGCTGAGAAAGAAAGAAAGAATGCTTTCATTTTAATTTTCTTTTTCATAGAATACCAAAACATATTAATGATTTATCGAGGTTCTCACAATAGGAATTCAAAGTCACATCTCTCCAGGATCACAGTGTATCCTGATTTCTGTCTCTCAGGTATCCAGCTGGTTTCTCAGCTAAGCTGGAGAGACTAGAGGGCTAGAAGGGAAGAGATACCTGGAGAAACCTGGTGTGGTGGGCACCACTGTAATCCTAGCACTCAAGGCAGGGGCTACCCAGGGAGACCCTGGCTCTGAAAAAAAGGAAGGAAAAGATGGGGGGACCCAGAGTGGTGGTGTACACATGTAATCACAGCACTTGGGAGGTGGAGGTTGGAAGATAAGAAGTTCAAGGCCAGCCTCAGCTGAGCAATGAGTTTGAAGCCAACTTGAGCTACACGAGACTGCATTTCAAAAAAATGAAGAAGCCAGGCATGATGACTCAGGCCTATTATACCAGCACTGGGGAAGCTGAGATAGATCACCATGAGTTTCAGGCCAGCCTTGGCTACAAAGTGAATTCCAGGTCAGCCTGAGCTACAGTGAGACCTGCCTCAAAAAAACAAAATGGGGGAGGAAAGGGAAGCTAATGAAATCCAATCCCATCCCTTCCAGAGGATCTGTAGGCAGTTAATGGTTGCTGAAGGAAGGGAGGTTACTTTAATGGTGTAACCACTGGTAAATTACTTACGCTCCCGTAAATAATCCCTTACCCATGCCCCTTTAAGCAACCCTAATGAAACGCATTGGGACACACACACACACACACACACACACATACACACACACACACACACATGTGCACATAGAATGGGGACTAGTTCATAAGGGAAAGGGCATCAACAGGAGTGGGAAGGGAGGAGAGAGTGATGTGAATAAATATCAAAATTACATATGTGAAAATGTCATAAAATGGAACCCATTATTATGTATAATGAATAGATTCTAGTGAGAAACATTTTTTTAAAAGGGTAGGGGGAGTGAGCTAGCCAGTAAAGGTGCTTGTTGCTAAGCCCAACCACCTGAGTTCAATCCCTGGGACCCACATGATGGAAGGAGAACCAACTCCTGCAAGTTGTCCTCTGACCACCACACGCCACACCATGGTGCACACACAAAAAAAGTAATAAATAAATGTAATTTTTTTAAAGGGGGGGTCACTGAGTCACAGGAGAAGGAAACAGAAAGCACAGGCGGAATTTAAGAAGCCAGGTGAATATCACACTTGCAGAAGGAAGCCACCCTGCCCTGCCCTGCCCTGCCCTGCCCTTGTTACCACATTACAGAACCAGAAAGGAAAGTTTAGATGGCCCAACAAACCCACTCACTGCTCTCTGTAGCAGACCCTGGGGCTAGGCAGAGGAATGACACCCACCCACCCACAACCAGGAACAATTGCAGCCAACCCCAGGACAATGTGAGGATGAACTCTCAGCACGTGGGCTCAGGCCCTTCAAGCTTATCCAGTCCCCTTACATAACTGAATCCATGAAGAAAGTGAGGCCTGAGGAGAGAAAGACAGTCATTCAAAACCACACAGCACTTTGGGCCCCAGCCCAGCCTTGTCTGGAAGCAGTTCTCCTGACTCAGAAGAGAAAGCCAGGCTTCCTCCAACCTCCCACATTCTGTTCTGCCTCCCTGAAGACTAGCCTACAAACAGGGCTCTCAGAACTCCCTTCCGCTTCCTGCCAGCAGCTCCCACTTCCCCCTGGGGAGCAAGCAGAGTGAGGAAGTGTGCACTGAGCCAGGTCTCTGAGCAGCCGAAGAGGGTTGGAACAAGATTTGCTCTTGCAGGGCATGGTAGCAGACACCTGTTATCCCAGCACAGAGAGGTAGAGGCAGAAAGATTGGAATGCTGCAGGTCATCTTCTGTTACATATTGAGTTTGAGGCCAGCCTGGGATCCATGAGACCCAGTATCAAAAAATGTTTGTGTGTATACAGTTAAATGGATTATCACATTTTTTTAACCAAATCAGTAGATACCTAAATCCTCTACAGAAACCCTCTTAGAGAGCCGGGTGTGGTGGCGCATGCCTTTGATCCCAGCACTCGGAGGCAGAGGCAAGCAGATCTCTGTGAGTTGAGACCAGCCTGGTCTACATAGCAAGTTCCAGGCCAGCTTGGAGCCACAGGGAGACCCTGTCTAAAAAGAAAAAAGAAAGAAAAACCCTCTTACAGCAGGGCATGGTAGCATGTACCCGTAATCCTGGCACTTGGGAGGTGGAGGCAGGAGAAACAGGAGTTTAGAGCCAAGCTGAGATTCGTGAGACATTGTCTCAAAAAAAAAAAAAAAAAAAAAATGGGCCAACAAAATGGCTCAGTGGGTAAGGGTGCTTGCTTACCACCAAGTCTGACAACCTGAGTTCAATCCCTGGGACCCACATCATAGGAGAGAACTGACTCTGGAAAGTTATCACGACTTCCACACTCTTTACACATGTACACACATATAATTATTTAATTAAATGTAACAAAATAATTTTAATTTAGGGGCTGGAGAGTGGCTCGGCAGTTAAGAGCACTGGCTGCTCTTGCAGAGGACCCAGGTTACATTCCGAGCACCTACATGGTGTCTAACAACCTTCCATAGCATCAGTTCAAGGGAATCCAACACTCTCTTCTGATCTCTGTGGCCACTGCATGACACCGGTGCACCTACTATGCAAACAATACACTCACGTAAACTAAAAATAATAAAATATTTTAATTTTTTTTTTTAATTTTGCTGGGTGTGGTGGTGTACACCTTCAGTCCCAGCACTCAGGAAGCAGACAGGTGGAGCTCTGTGAGGTCAAGGCCAGCCTGGTATACACAGTGAGTTCCAGACCAGCTGGGGCTACGGGGAGACCCTGTCTGAAAAAGACCAAAAAAAAAAAAAAAGTGGAAAGTA